CAGCGCGCCGCAAAAGCCATGAACGGATATAGTAAAGCTTCCACCCGAGTGCTATAAATAGTTATCTCCATGTCTGCAACACCCGCGTTATAGTTGAACGCATAAACTTGCAGACAGGAAAAGTGGTAGAATGGTTAATACAGGATTTTTCTTGCCACAAACGAAGGGAACGGTTATGAATTTCAGGATTTTTATTGCCATAAACGAAGAGAACGGTTAGGAATGGTTAAATGTGGCTTTCACTCACAACATTTTCGAACAGTTGTTGTACGTTGTAAGTTGACGTTTTTCGTTTTTTTAAGTGATTTTTTTTTCATTATGCTCGTAACATTTCCTGTGTACCAACAAATTAACCGGACAAATACTCCCTGAGGCTCACGTAGTGCGCAGCGTATGGTAATTATTCACAGGATACAAGCATGGCTGCATGCAGTTCCTCGTTTATTCATTCGTCAAAACAGTAAGGAGCTCATAAGAAGCATATATAAATGCCAGTACTAAGCCTCAAGATTTCCCCGCCGCGGGGGTCTAGTTGCCAAGGTACTCGGCTGCTCACCCGCAGGTCGCGGGATCAAATCCCGGTGGCTGCGGCTGCATTTCCGATGGAGGCGGAAACGTTGTAGGCCCGTGTTCCCAGATTTGGGTGCACGGTAAACAACCTTAGGTGGTCAAAATTTCCGCAGCCCTTCACTACGGCGTCTCTCATAATCATATGGTGGTTTTGGGACGTTAAACACCATATACCAATCAAGCATCAAGATTCAAACATCGCTCATGAAAACATTGTGTTCTTGCAAACAGGCCATTATTAATGAAAACATTTCTGGTTGACTGTATGCATAGCACAGACCGGTATAACAGGATGCGCCCAGCAGTGACACAGTTGGGGGACAACTACGTCATACATGATGTCAGTTATACAGAGGTTGTCAGAAGAATGACGCAGTACGCAAACATGCGAATTCATTGCGGCACAATTCTTGCTGGCCAGATTACACAGTACGTTTGCACTGAGCATGTGGAAGAGATTGACCGCTGACTGCACGATCTCGCGTCGCGCTTATGACTATAAACATAATACTGGAAAGAGACGCCCGGGTGGAGTGATTGTCTACCACGTTCGGCAAGCTAACACCACCGTTCGCAACAGCACCACCACCGCCACTACGTGATCGTTGGGTAGATGATGGTAGCAGTGGCAAAACAACTATCTTGTTTTCATTGGAAAAACAAGAAAAACAGCAATAGCACACAAAACATATATTGAAAATGCCACCGTCACATTACATAAGTTCAGAGCCAAAGGTATCGTTGACATCTGCTGCTTTGCGTTGCATATCCTGAAGACAACGCAGCTGAACTTCAACAAGACTAGTGTTGACAATGGGTTTGTGATGACTGCTAAATTTCATTTCACCATTTCTTTCTTCTCAATGCTTCTATAAAACACTTCTGAATCCCAAATACAATTCTATTGCTACTGTGAACGCTGATACGCATGGCGCCCCAGCTATCTACAGCCAAAGCCTAAAAATATATCACACATGTAATGACGACGCAACCAAATGCATACTACAACCGTTGCCTGGAGGGAGCCAGATTTTTTTGTGTTTTCAATATTTGCTTACATAGGCCCCTTAGTTAACTGACTTACAAAGATGGGCCAGGACGTCCCAGGAGAAGGTTTTGAAGGTTTGCAAAACAACCGATTAGACTGTGTCAAACATTATACCTGGTAATATTGATGTTTTTTGCTAACTACAAATTTCTTCAAAATGAAAAAAGTATCCCTCGTTAAAACCAGCATGTCAATCAAATGAGAGAAAATACCCCGTGTGAAACCCACTGCCGTGCCTAAGCGCCCCGCCATTCTGGTGCTCTCAAACGTTCCACGTATGAACGATACGATTACCTCACACAGGTTCTTGACAGTGATAAGCAGTCACAGTAGTTATCGCTTTTGAGACAGATAGCAAAACTTGTTCATGCATCGCAAAGCCACCACCATTGTCGTGGCCCTGCTGAGACAACACAATCGGGCAAATGTTATGGTCGTTCGTACGCTGAACGTTAGTGAGCTCCACGGAGTGTGGTCTCTCCTGCGCACATGCTTATCAGACTCGAGTTTCAACAGAGCACGAAGGTCACTTCGCTCGCTGCCGCGGCTGCACTTATGAAAGGAGCACACTGCTCACAAACGTGAAGGAAGAATTATGACAGTTGTTCGTGCTTGTTTTGTGTATACAAGCGCGCTTGTTTCGTGCGCTTGTCTTTCTGTTTATAGAGCGTGCTTTCAGCCTCGAGCTGTGACAGCTCTTAGTCCGTACTCGTCCTGTGTATGCTCGTTCTGTGAGTGCTTTCTGCTTAAGGTGCGCCCTGCAAGTTTCGAGCTGCTGTTGCTTGCCGTTCTTCACGTGACTTTGCAGTTTGTTGTTTCAGCACTCATTTCATCGATTTGTGGTGAAGCGAAGCGCAATAAATGCTCAACGAACTATTTGAAGACATGTATCACTCTCGTGTTCTACCGATTCCTAGAAGGAGGAATCAGCCACATTTTTATTTCTCTCTAAGGTCGGACAGCTTAAGCCTTGGTGAACTATCGGGCCATGTCTTGTTTTTTTAATGTTTCTCTCTCTCACACACACACACACACCACATGCACACATACACACACGCACACATACACACAGACGCACCCGCACACTCGCGGGCGCGCGCTCACGCCTATGCTAATACAGTGATCATAATCTAGCTGTTGGTGTCAACGGACGCCTGTTCCGCGGCTCCATCTTACAAAAGTTTGTTTACCCTACATGCACGTACGTCTCTTCCATCATAATGAGGGAAAAATGAACACTGAGATGGACCAAAAGCTACCGCGATGATCACTACCTACACTTACTTCAGCCTGTCACCGATTGTCATTCAATTGCCGATCCACTTACATCTTTTATAACGTCTCTGCAACAAGAGCAATGCGTCTCTGCAGAGACAATTTTTCTTCCTTGTACACATGCCATCCTGTGCTCGTGAGCGTGCGTCCTGCACGAAATAACGAAGGCATCGAAAACACTGTTGAAAGGAAGCCGCAGTAATCCAGTCGAGTGTCTGTTCAAGCTCAAGTCAAATTGAAAAGGAATAATCATCGCCTCACAAGTCGGTGACGCGGCCTTGGGCACCATGGTCACGATGTCATTGACGTCGACGAGGGGTGCAGACGTTTTTCAATTTTTTTCGCGCGTGCCAGACCACGCGTCTTTGGGCCAAGGATGATCGGGAAAGGAGTTTCCTAACCTTGCCGCCGGTGACGCCAAAGGAATCGTCTTCGCACGCTTGCGAAACACGTCCTCACCGTCCGCTTCCTAGGCAACTACTTTTTCTCTCTCCTACGTCGTAGCATCGTCTCGTCGTCAAACGTACTTTCCTTCTGCTTTTTTGTTAATGTTTCACGTCCTTTCCTGTCTACGCGATTCATTTTTTTGCCCTCTCCACCGATTCACCTCAGATCACGTCCGCAGTGAAAACGGCGGCCACTATTGCTCTGGCTGCCTTGGCGGGAAGAGTGCATAGGGCAGAGACGCTTGAAACGTCCTGAAAATGTGAGCAACTTTTTCTTTCTCCTGCTATTCCTTTTTACAGAATGGCCGTGATTGTATGTTCGTGTCGCCGAGCCTCGTATCTTCCGAACGCCTCGTGGTTAAGAAATGTGTTCACTGATAGTTGAACTTCGGTTATAGCGCATTACTTAACTGATATCTCAAATGCAAAATTGCATGGCTCTGATACGGCTGCATAAAAGAGAGTGAAGACAGTAAAGAGATCACAAGCTGCGCTGAGTACTAGCCCGAGCATACCTTTTGAGCAATTTTCAACATCTTTCTGTGGTATTTCAGCTCCGCCTGCTTGTAACGCAAGCAACTTTAAGTGAACTGACGGTAGCTTGCAGAGTTGTGCAGCAGATCTGTAGCAAATAGCAAGCCGACGATACATACTTTAGATTGATGGTACGTTTGGAACGCCTTTATACTTACAGTGGCTAATTTGTGGAGGTCATATTCAAAATATTTAGGTAAGGCTCATTTTTTTCTCGTTACGTTCATGGCGTCTACATGCACTACATTTCTTGTAGTTTTTTTTTTAGAGTAGCACTACAATTCCTGTGAACCATACTCACGTTGTCAATACTGTTTCCTTGTTTATTTTTACGTATGTTATTAGCTGACAAGTGAAGGAAGACAAATCTATTAGTCATCCGTAACGAATTCGCAAGTGTTTAGACTCCTAATCTACGTTTGTTAAGACAGACGGATGATAACGAACTTGTTATGCAGCAAGAATGCGTCAACTGGTAACTTACAAATATTAGAAATCAAAGCTTTAGGTTAGCATGCAGCCATCATATTTCTTTAGGCAGCACGTGCTAGGCAGCTGCGCTTGCTACGACACACAGCGATGCCAGCTCCGGATGGTTTTGAATCAACTTGATCTCGGACCATTTTGTGTGCAGATGATACTAGGACCTTGAGCATCTGCCTCAGTTGCGCAGAAAGCAACTAAAGCACTGCTACTTTACCTAAAGTCAACAAACCTGAGTGACCGCCTATAGACTGTGTGTGCTCCCCGAGTGTGCTCGTGATTGTGCGTACCTTCTCATCTCTCTTCAACCTCTTTTCTCCCCTTTATCCCTTCCCCAGTACAGGGTAGCAAACCGGATGTGCGTCTTGTTAACCTCCCTGCCTTTCCTTGCATCTTTATCTCTCTCTCTCTCTGGCGTAATGAGTTTATGTAAAAAAAACACAATCCCAGGCGTCCTGAATCTGTCAGCCATTGAGGTTCCTGAAGTGTTCATTTCATATGTGTCATTTGCTGCTGCAGTCACCTTTCAATGAATAGTTCTCTCTGTTATTTTTTGATGCCTTGGGCACGCCAACACAATGTACCCTAAATGATAAGCCATTGGCATTTTTCAGTAGTTATAACAGTCACTAAGTAAACGATCTCTGTCCTCTCCTTTGCATGCAGACTCGCCTCACAGAATCTGAAGAGGATGACCAAGAGTTTACGAGCGTTACTCAAGTAAAATAGACTTCGCAAATATCCGGCCATAAGAAACACATAACACTACCGCAGTATCGTACTCTCCTCTGTGAGCCATGCCAGCGCCCGTGAGCAACACCAATGGACTGTGCAATGGAGGAGCTAAAGAATCTCGCCCCTTCGTGTTCAGAAACCTCCATTATTTGCCCATAACAGGCTTCCTGAGCTCTCTTATCGCCATGATTGTACCTTACGCCATCAGCGTGTACTTGGGGGACACACCTGCGATTCTGCCATTCATCAGGTAAGAACTCAAAAACATATAAATAGAGCATAAGAATAAATATATTTTCTTTTTGTTAAATTGTAATTTATAATTAAGAATAATGGGAAACGAAATGCACGTAGGAGCCCAATGCATATAATCACCACTACCTGTACGTTGTTTATGCAATTATTAGCTTTCACTCCTCAATGTACGGTTGTCCATGCATACTAGACAAATCCCCGATTTTGTATAGCAGCGCTCATCGGGGCTGTGGTGATCGGCGAACACGTCAGATTCTTTCAACTAAATCTGCTGCGTATGACGTAAATCTCAGTAGTCGGAAAGCCTTCAATAATTGCAATTGTACTTCACGAAATCCTAGAAGATTCCACATTCGAGGAGGTCAGAATGATCATTTGACACAAACTATGAGGTGTAGCGTCCCAAATCAAAATAATGTGTTATTGGGGACGACGTACAGGTTTGCCAAAGTAAATACTTTCGAAGGATCGAAGCAGCAAACTCACACTCGGCAGCAGAATGACATTCACTGCACCACCGAGAGCGTTCTCTAATTGTGACCGCTACGGTACAGTCAGATTATACAGTACAATCAAACCATGCGTATACAGTTTGCTGCGAGATCATGCTACGACAACAGCACCGTTGCTGCGTTAGTGTGGAAATGCGGTCGGCGGCACGTATTCAGTGGCGCTTCGCTGTAGGCGGTTCGAGTCGATTGTCAGCGCGTGAAGCGCGTTGACTTCAGCCTGACGGTGACAAATACGATCCCCACAGCCACATCAATGCACGAAGCCGGGTTACCATTATTACTACGTTAGAGTGAATCGCAACCTGTCAATAAAAGGGGTTTTAGCCATCGGACCTAGTCGTATTTTGAAAGTGCTAGATGTTTTTTTTTCTTGCTTCATTTCTAACCTACCACAATGGTCTAGGGGTCATATAGCACTTAAATGCTGACCCGCAGGTCGCGGAATAGAATCCCCACCACGGCGGCCACATTTTTGATGGAGACCTAAATGCCTGAGGCCTGTGCTTTTAAATTTAAGTGCCATACTCTACTACACGCTGGGAGCTCTCTACTACGCGGCGCCTCTCATAATCATATCGTGGTAAGAGACGACACAAGGAGCGATTCACACGGCGAGTTTTATTCCGCTAGCCACTACAGGTACCGACTCTCTTCCTTCTGGCGGCAATACTAATTGTGAAGTGCGATTTGTGAGAACATCGAAACGTACAATCATATTTTTCCCTTCGTTTTTCTGAGTGATCTTGCTGATTCGCGTCTCATCTGTTATTCTCAGTGGTCTAGTTTACTATGAGTGTATTGAACTATTGAGAGGAATGTGCCGCGACATCCAAGCTAAGTCTCCGGCAGACAAGGCAAGTAACGGCAGGCCCGCACCTCTAATGCAAGTTTAATGACGTGCAACTCGGTAAAACAGACACTTAAAAAAAGGTTGAAGCAATCAGATAATAAGGGACAAAATAAAAAAAAAACTTTATTTATTCCTTCTTCTTTCGCTCTAATGTAGCTTCTAAGCACTGTGAAGTAGTCCACAAAAGCGGCATGAAGCATTGTATTAAGATAAAATATGTGTCATCTTTTGTAGAAGCTAAAAGCGAGAGGAACTGGTGGTTTTAAAATACACGCAATAACCTGGCAAGAATTAGGCTTGCTTACCGGAAAAGCTAGTTGCGAATGCGCCTACAGTTTGTTTTTTCCCTGAAGGCCAACATATTGCAATTAGTGTGGGAATGATACTTCGTCCTACAAATATATTATTCGTGTGGGCACTTCAATTACAAAAAGAACGTCATTATTGACAAGAATATAGAGTTCTTCGTTTTGTGTTTTCTTGCAACAACATATATTGCTGCCAGTAGTTAAAAAAGTATACAACAATGTGAAATAAATAGTCTCAAAATACTCAAATAACTCAAAATACATGTCCGTGCTATGTCGTTATAGTGACGCTGGTGGAGATCCTCCTCAGAGTATAGTGTTCGGCCTGTTCCTAGGAGTCACATCTTTCACAGGTAAGGAACTTTTGACAAAGTGTTTTCTACGGTGATTCTTGGTCTCGTGGCTTCCGTATTGCATGGAGTACAGTAGGCTTTCGCATATCGTCCTTAGCATGCAGGATTACCTGTTGCGTCTTTTTTAAATAATTGCTAAGGTTGTACGCGAGAAGGCACCCTCTTTCTCAGCAGCGAGCTATTTGGCTGGGATCCTCTCGGTGGAAGCGTGGAGAGAAAGGAATGTTACAAACTGCGAATAAATTGACACCGTAAGACTTGGGGATATTCAGGGTCATTGTGGTAGACAAAAGGACCCACAAGTGTTAATCTTACGCTATGGTTTAGCAGAGGCAAGCATGCTTCTGCGTTTCTCCATCGCAGTGATCTCCACTTAGCGGAGGGCAAGCTTGTTGTTAGAGACTATAGCGTAGTGCTCAATAGCACTACGCTATACTCAGGTAGCTAACATGGTGGGTCCATTCAAAGCGTTAGTCGATTTTGAAGGACAGATTTTTGGTGGGGACATTGGTGGGAACCATTCCTATATTAGTTATTATTGAACCGTCTAATTAAATATGTGAGCCGCACACTCTCCGCACACGTTTTCGATGAAGCCGACATTTGGCTTGCCTGTGTTGCAAAATTTCAACGCATGTTGATGCTCACACTTAAAGAAGAGAAAGGTATTGTGGCAGCCTGATTTTTGCTTCACAGAAAACCTCCGTGATAGACCAGTACTAACGTACTTGCAAGGTTGTTGGAGGCACACTTCTGTAGAAGAAGGATGTTTGAACCGGGAAAATACAAGTAAACAGCATTCACATACGCAAAGGAGCAATTCTAAAGGGTTCTTGAATGGGGGACACTTGAAGGACATCTTTTGATGGCGTGTCTCCTCTGACCTCGGAGTGCGCTAGCCAGCATATTTTTTCCCCTCTGTGCGATGAAGCCTGATAACATCAAATACGACCAACAGGATGCCATGAGTATTCGCTGCAGTGCCCGTGAAATAGTTCAAGGCATGGTCCTTGCCAGAAAAGCAGTGCCGAATGTTGACAGCTACGGGCGCCGCCGGCGTGGACGCCTCTCGTCAGATCGGCCGTCCCTAACAAAACGGAGGGTCAGTAGCTTCAAGGGGAATGACTTTATCTGAAGAAAACATCTCATTTTTTTAACTCCGTGTGCATGTTTTGCTCAAGTATCTTTTATCTAATTCTACGCCTCAGAATTAGACCTTCCGTCCATGAAAATGTATCACAAATGTTTCTTATCGCGACTCCATTTATTCGAGGATATTGTTCACTGGCAAGCAGCATCACATACATGATCACCGATAGAGAAAAAAATGGGTAGAAATTTATACACAGGTGCCGAATGAAGAAAGGAAGGAGCAAACTTAAGCGAATGGCTGGCCTTTTGAAGCGTTGAAATCACGTTTACTTAATGTAGGAGGGAGTTGTAACTTGTCAATACTTACTGTTTTTACAGATATCAATACATACAGGCATCATTACGTACAGACAAAGAATACTGACATATTCACCGTCTCTCTACTCCGTTTCTCAACCATAGGCGTATTACGTGCTCGACTTCCTTAACGTAAGAGTTTTCAACCTCTCTGATAATGGTATCCCTCATATAAGACTGTTGCCTTTCTTCTAGTAGTATTTACTAATAAAAGCGAAGCTCTCGACCTCAAGTTTATTGTCCTTTCCTAACAGTCGTCCATTGTACAGATACATTTCAACACGTTCTTTACATGTTGTCAATGTGCTATAAGCTCAATGGCTGTGACCTGGTGCCCTTCACATCAGTCTCAGGGCCGATCACGGCCGCCACGGTCGAAATTACATGGGGGCAAAATGTCAATGGGTGTATGCGAAGAGGATCAGAATCATATCACAAGAACAAAACATACAGGCATTCTAAACCCGGAATCGTCATTGTGTTTCGATTTGTTTTGTGCACTCATTTCTTCGTGCTGATATTTAGCTTCGCTTGACAAAAAATGCACGGGCTCACGGCTTTTTCTATTAGGCATAAAAATGCTTTTGTATTTAATATAAAACCATGAATAGTGTTACGTATGCGCTACAATAAAAGAGAGCACGGAGTGCCAGCGAGTGACTAGCCACACCAAAACAGAGTGAAGTCGAAGCAGATGAACTAGAACACAATAGTTTTTTTCTTGTCATACCTACCTCATGGTCAAAATTTCTTATACAGATACCACTTAGCATCGCTGGTTTTAGGTAGGAAACTAGAGCGTCCCGACAAAATATTCGTGCGCACACACCAGCAGCAACAATAAATGGAAACTAAATTTCAGTCAGAAACAACGAACGTTTATATTGTAAGGTGTATAGTATTTACATTTTTGTTGCACAGCATTCATTCAGCGCAATGAGAGCGCGACAACACACAACAAGCAGAGGAAGAAGCACCCTGCACGAGCGCGCCTCCTCCTCTGTTCTTGCTCTAGCTGTTCGTTGTGTGTGGCCGCAATCGCAGTTTGCTTGATCAACATGAAATACCGAATGGCCCACATTTCTATCCTTTTGCCGATATACTGTACTAGTTTTTCGAAGCACAACCAGCTAGCAAACCATACTTGTGAAGTTTAGGGGGGGGGGGGGCAAAGTGGGGTTAGGTGGGCCAAGCCATGTCCTAGCTGAATCCTGCAACCGGCTACAACCTAATCAGTATAACTGGAATCCACACTTATCACTGTGTCATTCAGAAAGAATGTGCAAGACGTTCCATATGTTTAGAACATATGTTCCATGATTTAAACTGCTGCTATATGTGTTAAGAAAAATCAACCATTTAGAGTAGATGGTAACGGGTACCCTACTATGGGACCGCGTACAAACAAACTCCCAAGAATGCATGCGATTTTTGCAAAAGCGTTCGACGATTCACAGTATACATCACTCTACTATGGGAGATCATGAAGCCGTCCCAGAAGAAACGTAAATCAGACGTCGCTATTATTTAACTACATCTTTACATTTCTGACGTACCTTTCCAGAGCATTACAAAAATCCTTGGGTTAGACGAAAAGACGCTAAATTCCAGAAGGCGGATAAAATCCGTGTGCGTTTAGAAAAAGTGGTGAACGATTTTGAGTACTTTGTACTCTACTATTGAAGAGCATAACACCTTCCTGGGCACTTCACCCTTGATGAGTCTGCGTCGACAAAAATTACGTCGCGAAGCAGTTCATGACATCGAACAAAATGAGCCGATTGGATTAAACTTCCTGTTTAGAAAAATGTCTTTTCACAGACGTCAATAACATTTCAATAGAGCATTTTCTTTTTGGAGACGTCTGTTTAGAAAAAGTTGGTAATGATTTAGAGTACTTAGAAGTCTACTATGGGAAAGCATTTAGTCGCCCCGTGTGTTTAGAAAACGTGGTTTACGATTAATAGTTGTCGCTACTCTACTATGGGAGAGCTGATAGCCGTTCCTTGGGCCTCACACAGTCGATATCAAAGACCCACTATGCGTTTGCGTTTAGAAAAAATTATTTGCAGCATATAGAGAACACAAAGGCTTCTTACCATTCCAGTAACAGTGCACATACACTTCGGCACATCTATGTTTCACGACTAACATCACTACGTTACAGTGAAGACATTTGCTCTAATATACATGACAACGTTGGCATATATGTACACAACAACTCAATGCGACATCATGATACAGTGATATACCGATACAATAGATGCAATGAAACACGATTTGTAACAAATGAAATCATATAAAACAACTCGATGGGTGCTGCTTAGCACCAAGTCGGTCGAGAAATGAGTTGTATCCTTTCGTGTTCTACCTTGACGAAAGGGCAGGACCAATGCCGCAGAAACTCGTGCTCCCCGAGGAAAAAAAGCTCCTCGGAGCGGAACGCGAGAATCTCCCGTCTCATTCTCCCCAGTATCGGCCACAAAGCACGCCGGCGGCAATCGGCAGCTACGGCCTCACATCGGTTTCTCCAAAGGCTCAACAGCCCCGCAACTATTAACAGAGCGGAGACGTGGCCACGCGGAAATCGGTCGTTGGAGACGAAAGTTTGCACACCCCGTCCCGAAAACCAGCATTAACCGCACGCCACAAAAAGCGGGAAACCACACATTCAAACGTCGCATGTCGATTGGCCTCTACCATGGCGCAGTTGGGGCAAGTGGAAGTGCGAACCACCTGCCATCGCTGCAACCGATCTCGCGTGGGGAGGAAGCCCCAGCCCAACCTCCAGACAAAGTCTCTGAGATGCCCCGGCAACACTGCGGCAGCTATTGGTTTCCAAGCGCGGTTCATTGTAGATTGACGATGCTGGGGCACCAAGGGTCGTTGAAGGGTGGACATTGTGTCCACCACTTTACAATCGGCCACCTCTATCTCTGGGCACGTAGCTTCCAAACGTCGGTGAAATGCCAGAAGGGCTTAATACAAAGATGGTAATTCAGTTAATTGGGGACCTTCGTTAATTTGGCTTTCTGGCAAGAAGACACGTAGTAATGGCCCCAGATGGTAGCGAGCCAGTGTCTGAGCGGGCATGCCATCATTGCTCAGTATTCGCAATAGAGGGCGGAGGCACAATGTAGAAGCCGCGACGGAAGCGTCCGGGAATTGCAAAACCCTTAGCCATAAATTTTTATAGGGCGTGTAACACGACGCTTGTGCTTTCGATTAATGATGATCTTGAGGAGACATATATGTGTGACTGCTTTTAAGAGAAAGACTTGAATGTACTGGCCAATTTTATCCGAGATCCGGGCATCACACCTGATTTACGTCATTTCTGAGGTTAGGAATAACGAGCCTTTAGTTTAGGATTAGTGCGGCGGATACATTAGCGCAGAAAAGTACTTATGGTTGGAAAGAGAAACAGCTTCAACGACTCTTTTAAAAAGGTGATTGGGAAGCGCGCTGATTGTGGTGGTGGTGAAACAATTATTAACCATCAAATGGTTACAGAGAGGTGATTGGGTTGGGGCCTTATTGGCCTCCTACCC